GGCCGCAAATTCTTTGCTACTCCCCCCATTGAGCGGTGGAGTCTAGTTCTTCTCCTTTGAATTTGGGCTGGCTTAGTGACTTGCTTGACTAACAGAATGTGAAAGAAGTAATGTTCTGGGACTCTCTGAGGCTATGTCAGAAGTCTTGCAGCTTCTGCCTACATTTCTTATAATACTCACTCTGGGGGAGTGAGTATTACATAGTATTACAACTATTACAACTAGTGAGTATTACATAGTATTATAACTGTGTAAAAGGTTTGAGTTCACTGAGATTGCAATATCGTGAGGAAGCCCAAGCTAGCCATATGGGGGTGGGGGAGGCCAGAAAGAGAGAAAGAGAGAGAGAGATGCCAAGCTGGCCCCAGCTATTCCAGCACTATCAGCCCAGGTGCCAGTCATGTGAATGAAAGAGCCATCTTAGACATTCCAGCCTCAGTAGATGAGATGTGGGAAAGAACCAGGGATCCCAGTGGACAGCCAAAACCTAGGCCACAGGCATAGGACTCCAGCTGAGCTGTCTCAGCCATCTCCAACCATTAAGCCACCGCAGCTGAGGTTTCAGTCATTGAGGAGCAGAGATGAGACCCCTTGCTACATACACCCTGTGTGAATTTCTGGCCTACAAAATTATGAGCATAAGAAAATGGTTGTTGTTTTGTGTCATTCTGTTTGGGGGTGGTTGTTGTTTTATGCCAGTATGGTTTGAGATGGTTTGTTATGCAGTAATAGATAATTGGAACAGATTTTGAAGACAGCATTTGTATTACTCAGTTATTGCTACAATAATGCAGCATGACACAACTCTAAAATTCAATGGGTTTCAACAAGCATTTATTTTTCTCATACATGGGTCTGTGTGTTGACTGGGGTGCTCTTCTTTAGGCTGTGAGGCAGCTGGGCTCACTCTGTTGCCCAGGCTAGAGTGCCATGGTGTCAGCCTAGCTCACAGCAACCTGAAACTCATGAACTCAAGTGATCCTCCTGCCTCAGCCACCTGAGGCAGGTGCTCGCCACCACCACCCTGCTAATTTTTTTGATTGTTTCTATTTTTAGTTGCTTGGCTAATTTTTTCTATTTTTAGTAGAGACAGGGTCTTGCTCTTGCTCAGGCTGGTCTTGAACTCCCGACCTCAAGCATTCCTCCTGCCTTGGCCTCCCAGAGTGCTAGGATTACAGGTGTGAGCCACCGCGCCTGGCGGCCAAGGCATTTCTATAATTTGGTGCTTATATCTATCTAGAACCCAGAGAGAATACATATTAACATTGTGGAGGTAGGTGTCCAATATAGGAATTTTTTTTGTTTTTGCACTAAAAACCTACAAACAGGAGGCACATAAATTTATGAAAAGAATAAAATGTTATAAAAGAGCAAAGAGAGAAGGATTAAGAAAAGAAAGAGAGGTCAGGCATGGTGGCTCACGCCTATAATCCCAGCACTTTGGGAGGCTGAGGCAGGAGCATAGCTTGAGGCCAGGAGTTTGAGACCAGCCTGGGTAACACGGTGAGACCTCATCTCTATAAAAAGTAAAAAAATTAGTTGGGCATGGTGGCACATGCCTGTAGTTCCAGCTACTTGGCAAGCTGAGGCAAGAGGATTGTTTGAGCCCAGGAGTTTGAGGTTACGGTGAGCTATGATGATGCCACTGCACTCTAGCCTGGGCAATAGAGCAAGACCCTGTCTCGAAAAAAAAAAAAAAAAAGACAGAGAGAGAAAGAAAGAAGGCAGAAAGTGAAACTCTTTCACAGAGAGATATGGTAGCATCATCAACTGTTGCTGAGGCCAGGAGAAGACACCTGTTTCTTGGTTTGTCTCACAAGTAGGCAGAGTGGTCATGGGGCAACCAATCCCTGAAAGATGCCCCAAGAGACCAGCTCCTTCCCAAAGAGAAGTTTTGCTAATTCAACAACAGATATATTTGGCATGGTGTAAGGTACCCCCAAACACTGCTCTCCCATGGGGCACTACCCTTACACAATATAGTTTACGGAGTTCCCCACTCTCAATTGAGGGTTAAGTATTAACACAGCTCTGGGGTGCACAGGAACAGCACGAAAAGCTGTGGGCACCAAGCAGAGCTAGAGCAAAGGGAATTCAGAAAGCCTATGGGAGGGGAGTAACATCTGAACTGGGACTGGATGGAGAGGCAAAAAAACCCCAAAATGTGGGAACAGCACATGGTCCCATTTTTGTTGGGTGTTTTGAGGGCACAAGGCTGGAGGGTGAGCTGAGGCCAAGATCATGGCAGGCCTTGAATGCCAGGATGAGGAACACATTCCTAATGCAGTGGGAGCCACTGAAGGCTTTTGAACAAGAAGTGATAAGAAGGAGTTGTCTTCCAATACTGCTCTGTGCTTCTTTAGTAATATAAGCCCCAATTTTTAACTGGGTGCATGCCTGTGCAAAATAAAAACTACATTTCCTAACTTCTCTTGCAGCTAGGTGTGGTGACTTAATTAAATTCTAGTTAATGAAATATAAGGAAAAGAATGTGTGCAACTTTTGGGAAGTGTTCTTTCTAACAAGGAGAAGGCACACCCTAATTGCTCCTTCTTTTATCCTCCTGCATAAAAGGTGAACCTAATCCTAAAATGTAGATTACTCATTAGGAAGATTAGACGGGGCAAGGCAAAATACAGGGTGGAACAAGGGGAGCATTGGAGGTGGGAAGACTAATTCAGAGAACATTTCAGTCACCCAGAAAAGAAGTGAGGACATAAGAACCAAGTCAGTATGGTTGCAGTGGAAATGGATGGGAGGGGTGGGTGTGATCAATGTTTCAAAAGAAATGGCTGTGGAACTTGGCAAATGATCAGGTGAGAGAAGACACTGCAGAGGGAAGAATCAAAGGTCACTTTGAAGTTTCACACAGAAATGACTGGGTCAATGACGTTTTAACAGAAATAGGGGAAGAGGAGGATGAGCAGACCTGAGGGAGGCAACCATGAGTTTGGTTTTGAACACGTTCAGTTGGGCTGTTTGCAGGACATTCAGGCGGAGACGTAAAGCAGGCAGTTGGAAAGGCATTTCTGGAACATGATTTGAGTGTCTTTTGCATAAAAGCAGTACTCAAAACAAAGGGAGGGGCTCATTGGCAAAATAGAGCATGTGTCTGTAGGAATTACTCTTCCTTCCGTGCACACAGAGAAATAAAGTGCATTCTGGAAAACCAGATAAAAATATGTACAGTTGTTCCTGACACTACCTCCTCCCTCCCCCACAAACAAACAAAACCCCTGCAAGCTACAGACAATAGCTGCCTGGCTTCAAGTAATGAACTCCTCATGGTCTCAAAATTTGGACAGCTCCTTAAGGTTCCTTATGAAGGCATTTTGATTTGCCCGAACATCTGTGGTGACATGTTTTAAGATGACTCCTTTTCAGCAAGAAGTCAATAGTAAATCGCCGTCCTTCTCAATTCAGGTTAGCCACACTTAAGAAGACTTCCCCTTCACAGAAGCCTTCAAAGAACACTTTCTTTCAACAGCAGAATGAGAAAATATAAAAATCTAATAAATGTGACACAGTAAAACAAACTCTGCAGAGGCTTCCCTTACATATGCCGTGGCCAGAGCAGATATTAAGTAAAGGAGGAAATCAAAAGAACGTGAACAATACGGAACCACCTTTCAGGCTAGCCAAACCGTTGACTGCGCCGCTTTTGCGCCAGGGCTAGGGCCGAGGGGATGGAAGACGTTAAAATCCAGTGGCGCGCGAGTTTCGGCTGAGGTTACGTGGCAGAAACCAACTGGAAGTGGTGGCGTGAGAGCTCTGTTTCTTCTAGAAGAGTTTTGCGTCTTCAGTGCGCATGCTGCGCAACTGCCCGGAGACCCAGGCCCCATCCCCCATCCGCCAGACCACACGCCTGGGAGCGCCCGGGTGCGCGCGGTGGCATGGCCTGGGCGCTGGGTTTGGTGCCATCGCAAGTCACCTTTCACTTCTGGTAAAGCTTAGTTAGAACCCTTAAAGAGGCCGGGGGGCGGTGGCTCACGCCTGTAATGCTAGCATTCTGGGAGGCCAAGGTAGGAGGATAGCTCAATGTCAGGAGTTCAAGACCAGCCTGAGCAAGAGTGGGACCCCGTCTTTACTAAAAATAGAAAGAAATTAGCTGGACAACTAGAAATATATAGAAAAAAATTAGACGGGCATGGTGGCACATGCCTGAAGTCCCAGCTACTCCGGAGGCTGAGGCAGGAGGATCGCTTGAGCCCTGGAGTTTGAGGTTGCTGTGAGCTAGCCTGACGCCACGGCACTCTAGCCTAGGCAACAGAGCAAGACTGTCACAAAAAAAAAAAAGCCCTTAAAGAGCATGTGAGAAGGCTTTTCTCATTCATTCATCCATCCATCCATCCTTCCTTCCTTTGTCTCGGGGCTGGGCCTGTACTGGGCACCATGGCGTGCTTTACCGTGCGAAACCCCACCGGACCCCTCGAGGAAAGAATTTTACTCTGGAGGGACGCAGCGGAAGGACTGCCTGGGCCTCCGCATCGCGCGCAGCCCCTTCGCTGGAGAGGCCAGCGACCTCTCAGAGCGCCAAAACCTCAGTCCCTAAGCCTTCCCCTCCCCCAATCCCCTGGATAAGGAACGTCGCCGAGTTCCACATTCTCCCGGGCCCTCTGACTGCGAAGGCCCAGACCCCAGCCGGCCCGAGAGGTACCAACGAGCCCCGGCCGTCTTTCAGGCCGCGCCTCCCCGCGGCCGCCCTGGAGCCAGCCTCCTTTAGCTGGGCCGGGAGGTGGCTGCTGGCGTCAGGATTGGCGGGCTCCCCCTGCGCCCCCGCGGCCCTGGGCTGAGCCTCCAGCCCGGCCGCCACTCATTCCGCCAGTCGCCGGGGTTGGGGCGCGAGGCTCCCGGCGGCGGAGACGGCTCCCGGGCTCTGATTGGCCAAAGCCGCGGGGGGCGGGGTGGTGGGTGTGAAGGGGGCGGGCTCAGGACTCTCCCGGCTCCCTCCTTCCTCCCAGGCGCGTCCTCCCTCGCGGCTTTCGCGTTGCATCATCTCCAGCCGGTGGCAGTTCTGGAAAGGCTGGGCACGGCGTGACCCATTCCGCCCGGGGGTCCAACCCGCACTCCAGCTCGTCTCCTCGCTCTTCTCGCATCTGATCCTGGGCCAGGCCGGGACACCCCCCGAGGACGCTTCCCAGAACCTGCGGGGCGCGGCTGGCAGACCTCACGAGCTCCGTCAGATCCATTCTTTGGGAGTCCCGTCTCCTTCCAGAGTCCAAGTCCCCTGCCTCCCGCTCGGAGCGGCGGGCCCAGCCATGGAGAAAAGCAGCGAGACCGACGGATACCTCGACAGCATACAGGCCGGGCCTGCCGGGGGGCCCAGCGCGCCGGGGACCGCGGCGGGACGCGCGCGGCGCTGCGCCGGCTTCCTGCGGCGCCAGGCGCTGGTGCTGCTCACTGTGTCGGGGGTGCTGGCGGGCGCGGGCCTGGGCGCGGCGCTGCGCCGGGTCGGGCTGAGCCGCACGCAGGTCACCTACCTGGCCTTCCCTGGAGATATGCTGCTCCGCATGCTGCGCATGATCATCCTGCCGCTGGTGGTCTGCAGCCTGGTGTCGGGCGCCGCCTCCCTGGACGCCAGCTCCCTCGGGCGTCTGGGCGGCATCGCCATCGCCTACTTTGGGCTCACCACACTGGGTGCCTCGGCGCTTGCCGTCGCTTTGGCGTTAATCATCAAGCCAGGGTCCGGTGCGCAGACCCTTCAATCCAGCGACCTGGGGCTGGAGGTTTCGGGGCCTCCTCCAGTCACCAAAGAGACGGTGGACTCTTTCCTCGACTTGGCCAGGTAACGCACTCCACTTCGCCCAGGGCTCAGGGGAGATGCCAGCTCTCTAATGCATCTCCGGTTCATACATACATACACTCATATACTCCTAAGAGTTAATTCTTAGTTGGCTGCTGATGGCATTTTTAAAATATAAAAATAACGTCTGGAGTCTTTGCATGCTGACCACACCTTTGCAAACAGCTGGGGTACAGGGGACAATCGCAAGAGCAGGGAGGGCCACATCTTTTAGCAAGAACCGGTCCTACGGTTAGGTAGGCGTGTTAGGGAAGAGTCAGCCGTCCCACCTGTACTTTACTCCTACACTCTCGTGCTCCCCTCCCTGGTAAAAATGTTCCGACCATGTCCCAGTATCTTCATCCCATTTCCTCCCCAAGGTGCCCAAAAGCTTCTGGGAACATTGGTTAAATTTTGCCTGTTGGGCCATCCTGCTTGCATTCTGTGGCTTTCTCTGTCTCAGCCCTTGGGCTGCGAAGGAAGCTGGCAACTTTCTGAAGAGCTGTCAGTGGATCCAAGGATAGCGGGGCTGGGGTTAGTTGTGTGGGGCCTAAAACCCAGAAATATGTCTCTCCTGGGGGCTTGGGACAGTTTGCTGTCCACCCCAGTCAGGACCACTGCAGAGTATCATCTTTCCAAGGCCTTTCTTTGTGGGAAGGTGTGAGTTCTAGAGGGAAGGGAGAGAGGAGCATCTTCACTTAGCTTTGCCTGCTTTTTGTGACTGTTAGAAGTTGCATTTCATCCCTTGAGATGATGTAGTGTAGTTTCTGGAACTATCCAAAGAATCAATTTTTCTTGGTTTCTTGGTTAGCGCAAAGTTCACAGATGGGAAAACTGCAGCCTGGAGGTATTTACTGATGTAACCACTATTAAGTTGAGTGAGGAGACCCACAGGCTCCCCCTCTAGGTTTCTGATAATTCTGGATTCTGAGCTTTGGAGGTATGTTTTGTCTTGAGTCACTGAGGCAGAGTTCCTCATTGCTGAGGCTGTGAAAAACAGCAAACCCTGGGCAAAGTGAATTAATTGCCTTTTCCACTGTTTCCATTTCTCCCTCTGGAAAATGTGATGGCTGTCTGCCACTTAAGAGAGAAATTGTTCATTTAAAACAACCAAACAAAAAAATCCAGGACATCTGTATTGGAAAAAAAAAAAAAAACTCTGATGAGAGGGACCAAGAGTTCTTGCCAAAAGGGCAGGTGGGGGTGCCCTATTAGGACTTTGATGGGATCCCAGCCTTTGTTCCGTGTCTGGCAGCTTGATGTTTGGAGTCTTTAGAGATTTTTTTAGGTTTGGAGATGTTTAGGCTGAAAAAAAGAAATCTACTGAGGTTGAGAGCACCTTTGACTTATTGCCTTCAGGATATCAGTCAGCTCTCACAGGGAGGGAAGGCAATTAGGGGGTTAAAGGATTCTTTTTTTGCAGGGATCTGTGGTCCGGGGAGGGAGTGTGGATATTCAGCTCTGCTTGCTGGTGGCAACCCATAGAGAGCCTCAATATTATTCTTTTATCTCCCGAAGAGGGATGGAGGGGTGTTACCTCATTACCACGTGCCCAAGAAAGTTTTTCTACCTTTATTTAGATCCAGGCCCCTTCAGCTCCTGCTCCTGAAGTGAATGGTGACCCAGTGTCATAGCTTAGCAGTCAGTGTAGGTGCAACTTTTCAATGACTTGGGCTGTGCTTGCATGGGAGGGCTAAGAGAGGCTTTATCATGGCTTGCTGGGAATAGGTAGTGTTTCCTAATGCTTTCAGTAGCCAATTCCATTCAGTCCAGCAGCTCACGGATAAAGGTAGGGCAAGTGGTATATCCTATTTTATGACTGAGGAAACTGAGAGAGAGATTAAGCGATTTGCTCTAGGTCACGCAGTGGCTTATCAAAAGAGGGATTAGAAGAACTAACCACCCCACAGTTTAGGGCTCTCTCTATTTCTCCTATTGTCTTCCCCCCAAGTCGAGATGCCATAGTAATAATATCACATTCCTAGTCTAGTGCAACTATCTCAGAACTATTTTCCCTGGGCCAAAGAAGAACCAGGTAAGCATATGACTGAGTCAGGGCAAATGCCCACTTTCTCCAACCAGGGATTGAGGCTGAGCTCCTTAAATGAAGGAAAGTGTGTGTGTCCTGCTCAGGTTAGGGTTTATGCTTAGCAGCTTATGAGAGGAAACTGAGTTTTGAGCCACCGGAAATACTTCCGGGGTCTGGGTAGTCTCTGGGGTCAAATTACTTCCTTTAAAAAAAAACCTCATGGGCCAGGTGCGGTGGCTCATGCCTGCAATCCTAGCACTCTGGGAGGCCGAGGTGTGAGGAGTGGTTGAGGTCAGGAGTTCAAGACCAGCCTGAGCAAGAGCGAGACCCCTGTTTCTATTTAAAAAAGAAAACCTCATCGATGCTAATTTCATGTGACTCTGGGCATATTCTTTGGAAAAGGCAGGGCCTAGTCCTTTCTGTCTGTGGGCACATGATTGAAATGAGACTCTGCTAGTAAACACCTCAAGTTATCCAGCAGGCCCTTGCCTGGTAACTGCTCAGAACTTAAACACCTGGAAGAGTGGAAAAAGTCTCTGATGAGTCAGCATAGCTGCTGCTAAGGCCTTGTGCTAAAGTCCATCCCTTTCCTGGTGGTAGAGTGGCTCCAGAACTCCCACAGGGTCTCTCTGCCATGATTTCTAATTTATTATTTTTTTTGTTTTTTTTTTAAGGCAAGCACGAGGTGAAATTTATTGAGGGGGAGCAAGACAGGATTAAAGGGCAAGAGCAAGATATAGGTTTACACAGCAAGATACATACTCCACAGATGACAACCCGACCAGCAGAAAAAGAACTCTATTTTTTAAAGTGAGAACTACAAGTCAGAAAGAGATGGAGCTAATAGGTATTCATTATGTGTGTGATTTTCCAGTTCACATGAGCTAATGGGGACAGCCCTCTTTCCAAAGCCTGAATAAATGAGGGCAATTGGGAAGAAAAGGAATATTTAGGGGAGCTCAAGATGACTTAGAGCTAATATAGTCTCTATTTATTTATTTATGTTTTTAGAGATAGTGTTTCACTTTGTCATCCAGGGTACAGTGCAGTGGTGCCATCGTAGCTCACTATAACCTTGAACTCTTGGGCTCAAGAGATCACCCTGCCTCAGTCTGCCGAGTAGCTGGGACTACAGGTGTGTGTCATCGTGCCCAGCTAATTTTTAAAAATTTTTTTTAGAGATAGGGTCTTACTGTGTTGCTCAGGCTGGTCTTGAACTCCTGGCCTCAAGCAGTCCTCCTGCTTCAGCCTCCGAACGCACTAGGATTACAGGCCTGAGCCACAATGCCTGGGTGAGCTAATGTAGTCTTTAGGTTTATTGGGAACCCCATGGCATCTGGTAGAGAGGAAGTGAACAGTGATTACGTTTTTGACTAATAGAATCACACTCTGGGAAATTTTGAAAATGGAAAAAAAGTCAAAACTAAACACAGAAGAGCCTTCCATTCTGAAATGGGGCAGAAGTACTCCCAGACCCTCACTGACATTCCAGTTTCATTTTCCCCTACCTTACATGCTTATGGTCTCCAAAGTTGACCTCAGTTTTCTTTAGCTGTACATTGAAGGGATTGAGGCTGCCAGCTTCTTCCACTCCTTTGGGCTCTAAAATTTATAGTTTTCAAATGGAGAACCAGAGGCTTAACTGCCAAGAAGGCAGGTAGGGACAGCACGTGGGCCCAGGACTCCTGTCTGCACTGGCAGCCAGAAGAATGGCCCTGGGCCACCGTCTTTTGCAGTAGTGTAGCAGGTTGCTGCCGTGTACATTGTAAATACAATTAGGATTTTGTCTGCTGCCTGGTTTCTTGAGTTTTTTTTTTTTTTTCCCTTACACTCATTTTCTTAATAGGAAACAGTGCTCTGAACCTTTCCCGTCACAGAGGGACGTTGGTAGACTTACCTTCCTTCCCAAGGACTGGAGAGAATATGTGTGACGCCTCTCAAGCTGCAAAGAACACATTTCTTGAGTAGGTGCAAAGAAACCTATCAGACACTGGGATGTAATATTAGCCCCTAGATGGCAAAGTCAAGGGAGCGAGTTGTGAATAATTTCTTTTAAATATTGACTATGGGCCAAGCGCAGTGGCTCATGCCAGTAATCCTAGCACTTTGGGAGGCTGAGGCGGGAGAATTGCTTGAGGCTAGGAGTTCGAGACCAGCCTGATCAAGAACGAGACCCTGTCTCTACAAAAAATAGAACAATTAGCTGGGCGTGGTGGCATGTGCCTGTAGTCCCAGCTACTTGGGAGGCTAAAGCAGGAGGATCTCTGGAGCCCAGGGGTTTGAGGTTGAGAGATTCTCAGCCTAACTAGTCACTAAAGGAAAAATATAGCAGCTTGTAATTAAAAAAATAAAGTCTTGGCCGGGCGCGGTGGCTCACGCCTGTAATCCTAGCTCTCTGGGAGGCCGAGGCAGGCGGATTGTTTGAGCTCAGGAGTTCGAAACCAGCCTGAGCAAGAGCGAGACCCCATCTTACTAAAAATAGAAAGAAATTAATCGGACAACTAAAAATATATAGAAAAAATTAGCCAGGCATGGTGGTGCATGCCTGTAGTCCCAGCTACTTGGGAGGCTGAGTCACAGGATTGCTTGAGCCCCGGAGTTTGAGGTTGCTGTGAGCTAGGATGACGCCACAGCACTCTAGCCTGGGCAACACAGTGAGACTCTGTCTCAAAAAAAAAAAAATAAATAAAGTCTTTAACTCTTGACCATTCCCTCTACCACCGAGGAGAGCACCTAAATAGTTTAGAGACTGAACAGGGCATAAACCCAGGCAGGCGGCTTGGGTAGTGATTAAGAGCAGACACTAAAGCCAACTACCTGCGTTTGCATCCCGGCTCTACCACTTACTAGCTGTATGTGGACAAGTCATTTGGCCTCTCTGTCTCAGTGTCCTTATCTGTAAAATGGGGCTAATAAGATGTACTACCTAGAATTGTTGTGAGGATTAAATGAGTTAATATTTGAGTCCCTTGCT